CTGTAGATGTACCTGAGGAATCTGAAGAGGGCTATGGCGGAGAAGATCTTGGCAAGGTGGATCTTCAGACGGGAGAAGTGTTCGGCGACGCCTAAGACGGCTCTGAAGCTGTTGTAGACGGTATGGAAGGTGGATTCGAGCATCATGCTGACCGATGCGAAGGCTTGGACGATACTCTCGATCGATTGAAACGCGGGTCTGCTGCTCTCTTCGGCTTGCTGAACGAAGCGACTGAACGGCTCCGCGCCCATCCCTCGTCCGTACCCCATCCCGCCCTGCATACCTCCGTATCCACCATACATCCCTCCGCCGTACGATCCCATTCCCATCCCTCCACCGTACGATCCCATTCCCATTCCCCCGCCGTACGAGCCCATCCCCATCCCTCCGTACGACCCTCCGTACGACCCTCCGTAGCGATTCACCATGCCGCCCGACATGAGGGAGCTTTGTTGACTGGGTCTGGTGGGGAGTGGTGGGGGTGGCCCCCGCATAGGTGCTGTAGAGTGGTAGTTCCTGTGGCTGTTTTGTAAGCCCGTGGTTGATCTCTGGTTGACATGCTGGTTACTGAGAATGAGAAGGGATAAAACAAATCCATGACATTATAATCTAACCAGGGGGGTGTTTCACAAAGATTCTAAGTCAAACTCAACTCTAAGTTGGTCTTAAATATTATGGAGAGCCATTTGTAGCCTTAAATAAAATATATTCAAAACCAAAAATTGAAGTATTTTAGACTTTTCATAAATTCCGCATCAAGAACATGAAATCTCCATGACAATAGCAAATATGAATGATTTGAATCAACCTTTTATGCCTTTTAAAATAATTTAATAAAATATTTTCAAAGATGATAACGGCTTTCCATAATTGTTAAGTCCAACTTAGAGATAAGTGTGAAATCATGAAAATATGGACAAAAAGATCAGCAAATTTGCAGTCTTTAAAGGGAACCTAAACCTTCATACTAAGTTACTTTTATTGTAAAGATTAAGATATTTGAATAAAATCAGTGAAAATTTGAACAAAATAGGGCAAGGAATAAGGAATTTAGAGCTTTTTGAAATGACTAGTCACTAGAGGGCAATATTTAATTTGATGACATCATCTGTGGACAACTCTCCATGCCTTTTGTACATCAAATTTCATGTTTTTCCTTCTTTCTTGTGATTGAGATAATCTACTCCCCTGAAAGCAAGGTATAGAATGCAAAATGATATTCTACTTCACATGTTATTAACACACAATACGAAGAAAACGAAAGAATTGTGAAATTTTCTTGAGCTTTCTTGAATTTTGAGATCGTGATATCTCCAGAATTCTTTGACGATAAATTTTTTAGTTGCACCAATTTGTAGTCAAAAACTTAACAGTCCATGTGGTAATAATTGAAGTAAATAGATCCCCATTGAATTCATGTAAAGATCTGAGATTACAGTCGATAACTTCACGCACGCTCGCATGCCCGCACCTTCGTCGGTACAAACTACGATATTGTAATTGTGTAGCGGTTTGCCGTGAAACCTGTGAGAAAGTGTATATTTTATTGACTTCGTTTTTAAGAAAAATACTCCAAAAAAGATAAGAAAATTGACACGAAACAGGTGAGAAAAATAATGACTTTTAAGTCATGACCATTATTTGAACAATTGATGAAGATTTAGTTGATTTTTGGTGTGTTTTAGTAGGCTATCTCCACGCCGGAGTTAAGGGTATGACTTTACCCAAAGTACGACTTCACGCTACGAAGAGGACTGTAGATCTACATGTAGGTAGATCTACTCATTGGAAGAAGAAGAACTCAAAAAGGGTCAAAAATGGAAACGAAAGTAGATCTAGGTCTAGTACACTATTGCCAAAAAATGATGATCAGTATCATTTATTTGGCCCAAATCAATGTAGAATGAAACATATGCATTTCATTGGGGGAGGGGGGGGGATGATTACATATATTGGCCATCCCTGGCCCCTGGCCCCCGGCCCCCTTTGATAGTCAAATATTGGGGGAGTGTGCGTGTACTGTAGTGTAGGCTTACGCCGCGCCGCGGTTCCCCCGAGGTTGACCTCGACAACTTACATCAATGGCAATACATAGGACTGCAGTTAAATCCGACTACGCAAATGCACATCATCACCTCTCATAATTTACGATTATTAGCTTTTACAAAGTATTTTTAACGTAAAAATTACGATAAAATACAACTTACACTGTTGTTTGATCAACGGGAAGGCCTAATGAAGTGTTTATTGAGCCTTGTCGATTTCTTTCCCACGGTTTCGGCGGAGCTGCCATCTTGCATAATTTCTTCAAAACCAAAGTTCAATGGACGCTATATAGAATTTATTGCAATGCAATTAGAGCTAGCTGCGCTGGGATTGGTCACTCCCTGGATAGACCAATAATGTCCACACACAATTCATTTTGGACTAGATGAAATGAGGGTCTTATCCTTCACCATGAATTTAATTGTGCTGTTGTTAGACAATTTTGGAATAATGAAATAAACAGGGGCCTATTTAATCAATATTTTATCTTTTATCATATCTTCATCATCAACATCAAGACCATCGTCATCCATCCAATTGTTCATTTAAAATACTTATGCATTTGAATTTCATTATTTCTCCATAACGATAATTTCCAGTTCTCTCTCTTTCTCTCTGTTTCTCTCTTTCATGTCCTTCTCCCCTCCCTCTTTATATCTCATCACTTTCCTCCTTGCCCTCATTTCCAGCTACCTCTTTGATCTTCCCTCATCTCTTTGAAATCACCATGATATTTACTTCTCCTTTCATTTCCCGTACAGAGGGATCTTTGAACAAACACATGCACTTCATCACAACAAGATAATTTCCAAGTTCCTAACAAGGTTAAGATAATGAGATTCTCTTGTACATATGGGAGAATACAACAATCAAAACAAGAACAAAACAAAGGGGAACAGACAGATGTTACAAAAGCAAACTGTCTTGTTTTTTTTCTTCTCCATTTCTTAGATGTGAAGGGTAACTTCAAAAAGCGAAAATATTTGTGCAAGCATCTTTCCTAAGGAAACATTTTCTAGGACTTTACAGAAAAAGTTTGAGAGATATAACGTAAACTATTATTACACCACCAGGCAATTTAAAAAAGAATTCACACAATAAATGACAACTTCGCAAATGTGATGTATACTTCTGTTTATTCTCTTTAATACATTATGGGGGTATAAACAGGGACTATGAGGCCAAAGATTGAAACGGGATCAATTAATTTACTTCTGTGATATGCATTTCTACATGAATGATACAGGATAAAATTAATATTGACTTGTATCTGCATAATATATGGAATGATAACTCTGAGAGCAAGGGTTTATATCTGTATAAGGATAAGATACATATAATAGATGTCCCTAGCACATCACCAAAAAGAATTAACAAAATTACCTAACATAATTCTGAATTAGTTTCATGCTAAAATGCAAACGCTTGACCTTTACCTTGTTTTCAACATTCATTTCAATGAACAAATATGGCATTCATGATCATTTCAATCGACTTTGTCAGACCTGACTGTTCTGGGCGATGTAACACAAACCCTAGCAGTTGATCGTATGATTGACTTTTGCGATTGATGGCAATGATAACTATGTGCAATCAATCGCAAAAATCAATCGCACAATCCATGGCTAATCTTTGTGAAACAGGGCCATTAGCCCTGTGTCATGAAACTTGTTATCAATAGCAAAAGTTGAAGTAATTGTTTAAAAGTTACTGAAATAACTGCATTACATGACAGTGGCTGTGAGAGGATTTTATTAAATGTTGCACTTTTTATTGAAATGGGGGCCCTGGGCTTACATAAATGACATCACCACAAATCCAGGACAAAATCACCAGATTCTGTTTATCACCTTTAAATTTGTCCATGTTTTCCTTTTTGCATTAAAGAGGAGACTCGTATAAGGACACTGTAACCATGGAAATTACTGTGTTATATCAGAGCTTTTTCAGTTTACACTGTATTATATAAACTTTCAAATTTAGTTATGTTCAATTTTGTTTCTCTCATTCTATCTTGATTTTTGATGTTATTTGATTGTTGTCTTTTAATCAATAAAAACAGAAGGAAAACAAAAATGTCCTCTGTTTAGAATATATATCTACCCTTAAACTAGACATAAATGTATGGTGGTGGATAGCAGACTTCATTTGGGAGAAAATCTTCCATGCAGAGAATCTAGTTTTATCAGAGTAAAATACACATCATTAAATTTTGCCACAGTGAAGTGCTTTACTGTGGCATGTGTGTTGGCCTCAATAGGAAAACAAAATTGACGTGGGGTGTATTTTGATTAAAAAAATAATAAATAAGGGGGGTGTTTCACAAAGATCTTAAGTTGAACTTAACTTGAAGTTGGATTTAAATTTTATGGAGAGCCATTTGTAGCCTTAAAATGAAATAAATTCCACATCGAGAACATGAAATCTCCTTGATAGCAGAAAATATGATTGAATGAATTAACATTTTACGCCTTTTGAAATAACTTTTACAAAATATTTTCAAAGATGCTAACAGCTTTCCATAAATTTTAAGTCTAACTTAGAGATAAGTTCATCTTAGGATCTTTGTGAAACACCCCCCCCCCCCCCCAGGATGACAGAGTCGTTCAAAGTCTTTTGGTTCAGGTAAGAAATGGGATTTCCTTGTATCAGGATCAGACATTGACTTATGATAATTGCTTTGATAAAAGCATGGTCTATTCAGAGCCAGAATGGCATAACAATATGTATAAAATATATGAGTTAACACCCATCTGGCTCCAAACTGACTCTATGTTCTATATACATATTGTTATGTATGTATCAGAACTTTAGCATATATTCAGTTTACTTGACCTCCTTGACTGACCATCACTGTAAATTAACTTACCTACATAGATTCTAATAGTTCTATTTATATACCGCATATGAAGATCCAGGCCTTTGATTGGTCAAAGCTACCGACATGAAATTTCGCTATTGACTGATGGGCAGTATATAGTGAAAAATAGTGACCGGGCATAATTCTACACGCAAGTACAATGTAAACTTGATAATGGATAAGCACAATGCTCTCAGACAGTAAAAGTTCATTTCGGTCAACAAATAAATACACTTTAACAGGCATAGTCGTTGAAATATCCCTTTTTGAGAATCGGTATTGGGGATGCAGTATATAAAACGAATATTGACTGCTTATTTTGGGGTCAAGGTTAAAACTGTAGCTCCTCTTGATCTCAAGATGGCACTATGCAGTACAGGGACTCGTTTCACAAAGCCTTTTTGCAATGACAAATGACAAAATTCAGTGACAAATCTGCTGATATCCAATCAGAAGCAAGGATTTCAGTAGCTTATAACAAAAACTTTGTCATTGATGACAAGTTTTGTGAAATGGGGCCTAGCTTTAAGATCACCTCTGGCAATAGCTATGACCGTGCCCCTTCAAAGCACTCAATATTCATATATCCTATCCCTGTAGGCAATGGTTTCGTAGAAGGGAAGTATGGTGGGTTTGGGGTCTGTACAGAAAAAACATAAAATACACTGAAATGAAGGGAGACATTTCACTAGAACTAATATTCAAATTCAAACTCAAAATAATTAGGGTCAAAAGAATGCACCCTGACGTAGCCATCCTCTCCTCCACTGCTGTATCTGTGAGTGAGAAAAACAGGGGGAAAAATTGTTAGATTACTAGAAATCATTAAGAGTCGAATACAGATATAGAATATAAAGTCCCAACAGAAACTGTGATTAAATATTTCCCCCATAAATAGAAGTAAACAAAGTATGATCTCAATGTGAAATACAGCAAATGGTGCCCAAAATGAACCTAATCTAGAGTTTTCTTGCACATAAAATCTATTGTGACTGGGTAAAATTTGATAATACCGAGGCTGGAATATTTTTAAAGCACGAGAAGAGAGTTCAAATCATCTATACGGTTCTGAATAATTACGACAAATTCTTGCTGGTTGGCACAAACCACAGTTCCCATTTCTACTATAACCAACTAGAGGACACTATACAACAGGGCAGCCTTTTACGAAACAATTATACAAATTTAACGCCATAAATTGGCATGTAGGTGGACTTGTACTTATGACGGGAAATGATTTCGGGAAATGATTTCCAGGTCACCCAAAAGATACATTTGTTTAACATACTGTAAAACCAGAATTTTTGGAGCAGTTCAGGCTTGCGAAAGTTACACGTTTCATGAATGTCTGATTCAACAAAATCTCTGTTGCAATTAATTGTCAACTTACCCCATTCCATCGGGATGGAAAGCCACGCTGTTGATCGGACCAAAATGACCTTTGACCCTGCCAAACTCCTCCTCAAAGATCGCATGGTAGAAGCGGGCGTCAAATTTACCAATCCTTCCTGAAGTTGTTGTGACATCCATGGCCTCCTGACCACCACCTAACAAGACCTGCCAAAATAATACAAAAATAATATAATAATATATCCATTTGTAAAGTGCAATAACTATGTGGATATATTCTACTGAGCTGCAAGAGCTCATAAATGCTGTGCTATACATACTACATGAACAAGTGGGTTTTCAGTCTTGATTAAAAAAATTCTAGTGATGGGGCTTTCCTTATTTCTAGTGGTAATCTATTCCATAATCTAGGGGTAGCACAAAGAAATGACGGTCTCCAAGGGTTACTTTGGTTTTATATGGGGGTATTTGCTACATAAATGTGTCTTGTGTACTACGAAGGTCACATACATGAATGGTCATCATTGGTTGGATGGTTTGTTTTACCTGACTGCTAAGAAAGCATGTGTATGCTTGTAAGTAAGCAACCAGAGCTGCAACAGCTTTCACTACCTCTGAAACTGAAAGGTTTTGCATCACTAAAAAGTTTTAAACATAAACTAAAACTTTGCCTAATGCAAAGGCTTTGAATATGACAACCCTTCTTTTTATGTTTGTAATAACCATTGTATTATTTCTTTGTCTCTTTTTTTTGTGTTAGGTTTTGTTTTTTGCATAGGGTCATCTACCTTAAAGTTTATGTAACTTTTTGATAATCCAACCACTTTGTAATTTCTTTAAGTGTATTTTCCATTTTATTGTTTAATCCTTGTTTGTAAGAATCTTTTCTTGTATTCTTACACTTTGTATAATTTTGTTATGAAAGTCAGGAATAAATTCAATTAAATTCAATTCAATTTGAATCTCCAATCTGGAGACAAACTGACAGACAGACAGACAGACAGGGGAGATAAGGAGACAGAGGGACAAGAGAGAGAGAGAGAGAGAGAGAGAGAGAGAGAGAGTGAGAGAAAATGAGACAGAGAGAGAGAGAGAGAGAGAGGGGGAGAAAGGGAGATGGGGAGAGGAGGAAAGAGAGACACACATGCACACATACACATACAGAAAGAGAGATAGAAAGAGAGAGATAATGGTAATCCAGAGTAAAACAGTACACCATGTTGAATGATGTAGAAGCGAAATTACTTACATGATTTTTAATGGGTGATATAGCTGCTGAATTAACGGGTCTCTCTGTCTTGAATGTCTTCATGTGTACCAGGTCTGGCAACTCAACAAGCTAATCAAAACAAAAACAAGAAATAATTAAAGAACTCAATGAGCTGATCAAAAGGAAAACAAGAAATAAATCCAAGAACTCAATGAGCTGATCAAAAACGAAGACAAGAAATAATCCAAGAACTCAACAAGCTCATCAAAACAAAAAAACAAGAAATAATTAAAGAACTCAATGAGCTGATCAAAACAAAAACAAGAAATAATCAAAGATTACAATGAGTTGATAAAATCTACAGTCAAACGATATTCAACCAATTCATAAAGTATGAATACTGACACAGGCCTTAAATTTCAACATTTTTAGGGCAAGGCCACTTTTATGTAGGTCACAACCCTATATTACAGCACAAACAGGAAGAATTGGAATGGGCACAAAAAATCTCCAAGGCCAATCAAAAGGGCATCCACGGCCATGGCCTTGGATTAATTTAAGCCCTGCTGACAAGTTTGGGGCATTGATTTCTCTTTTCATTTAAGCAGACAAGTTTAATATTAGTTTGTCTATGTAAATTTTAAATAAAACTTGCTCTAGGAGACCCCAAAACCTTGCTTTCAAAAACAACATCAACAACAACAACAACAACTTAAACACATTTAATGAATTCAAATAAGCATTTTAACTACAATGCAGCACATGGGTAAAAATTCACAACCTAATTTTCACATATTTCTTGAAGAATGCAGGTGTTTGTTTCCATAGAAACAGAATACAACAGATGAAAATAATACACAAACAACATTTTATTCAGTCACTGCAGTACAGTGCCCTATGGTTCATTCAAATTTCCTTTTATTTTCATCTTATTTTCATAAGTTACAGTGTATTTGCAAACGTTACTTCTCACCTTTCAGTTTTACTCTCGATATTTCCACCACATACACTTGCTCCGTTTACCGTTTATTGCTTACTTCAGTCCTTCTTCTTTCACATGATTTCAGTAGAACTATGTTACTTTATGCTATTTAATTCAGATTTCTTTCTAATTTATCTTTCCATATGTTGCAATAAGCTATATTTCTCGTATTTAGACTGATTTATTTTCCAAATTCAATATATCATGTTATGCTACATTATTAATACATTATGTGTTATTAATTTTGTTTGTAAATTTTTTAAATTCGACTAAACGCCGCGATGACAGCTTTATTTGAAATAACCCATTTTGAATTGAATGAATTGAAATCTTACCTTAGCTGTGCAATCCTTAGATGCTGTGACTATCATGTCATACTTGCTGTGTTTCTGGATATCATTGATTGCCTTCTGATGAATATCTTGTGTGCTTCCTATGCAATCTTGCATCTAAGGTTTGAAAAAAGAATAGGGTTGGAAGAAATCTCTTTGAGTAAATAAGAATTAATTTAATCTCATCAATTTCACCTGTCTGATAAACCTTCAGAGATAAATTTGGTTAATTTCACAACAATTTCAGCACCAAATAAGATACTAAGATGCATTTCTCTATTAAAAAAAAAATGTAGGGAAACGCATTTGTAATATTGAGCATACACATAATTACACATATATAGTACAAAATGAAAATGAATATGAAAATTCAACTCTTGCCTCTGTAAAGACTAATTATTTGGCTGCTTTAATTAAGTATTCCATACATGCATCAAAATCAATTATGGCAAGACATTAAGCTAAACGTGCCACTCTCCACACAGGAGATATATTAAGACATATAGGAAAGAATTCCTTGAAAGCTGTGAGCAATGAACTTGGTAGTCTAGCTAGAGCAGTAATATACTGGAACACCTCCAGCACCTTGCGTTGTTGTTGTTGTTGTTGTTGGGTTTGTTGGCGCTATCCATCGATTTCGATGATTTCCGCCAGGCTGTGTGTGAGGGCGTCTTGCTATCACTTTTGCTGCTCTACGTTTCTGTGATTCTGATACTTGCCCAGTGTGTGAGATAAAGATTTATCTTGGCCTTTGTTATTGGCTAAGTGCAAGATGAACATCTTGGTGAACATGAGCGTGAACATGAGCGTGGTGAACATGAGCCCTATAAAGATATCCACACTATGAATATGACGGACAAAGAAAGAGGACAAAATATACAGTTCGTCATTCTACCCTCAACAATTGCTGTGGTAGACAAAGGAACATCCCTTCACTGCTATTATGTAAAAATGTGTAGAACAGATGTCACATGCATATTCACCTGTTCTATACATTTTTACATAATAGCAGTGAAGGGATGTTCCTTTGTCTACCACAGCAATTGTTGAGGGTAGAATGACGAACTGTATATTTTGTCCTCTTTCTTTGTCCGACATGTTCATAGTGCCAGTATTATTACTTGTGTAGAATTCTCCTTTGGCTGATAACGAATAATTTGGAAATAATAATTACCTTGATATCCCAAAGTGTTAGTTCTCCATTCTCATGACCAGTCAGGATAGCTGTGTCTTGGAAGGTCCATATACCTGATGTGATCTTAGCTGTATCCATTGGTAACCTCATGAACGGGTTGTTAGATTCTAGAAATAAATCGATCAGGAAAAACATTTTGTAGTAATACCCTTCAGTGCCAAAGGCAGTTTTTAATGACACAAAGTTAAATAATTAATAAATTGTATGTAATATGTTTGGAGTAATACTTTTTGTGAAAGCCAAAAGCTATTCATGAACTCTGAAGCTTTAATTCTTATTAAAATGGCAAATAACACACAAAGCAGCATGACTAGAAAGTAGTCTAATGAAATATTAGTTATGGTGTATAATTGTACACTTAGTAGCACTGAGAGTTCAACACTAAGTACCAAGTTAAATTAGTTTTACAAAGCCAATTAGGTTTTATCTGAAGTTCTCTTATGCCATTTTCATTAAATGTAATCAATTTAACTACAAGTAATTAATATTAAATTTGAAGTTTCTTGTGAGTATGTTTATTTCATACACAAAATAATAAATTAACTAACAGTATAGAGTGCCACCAATTGCTAAAGTCATTTTCGCTCGTTGTCCAGATTACTGGTCCCAACAACAGAGCCTGTGCATGAGGTTCACTGCAAAATCATTCAAGCAACAGACAGGAGCAGGGCAAAATCAGTGTTCCGGGGCTGGTGTTTACACCATTGTTTAGCACAAAGTTGTATGGAACCAGCAAGCTTGACAACTTGGCCAGTATGACATCACACTTCTGTACCTTATATACATGTACATGTAGGAACAAGACGAAAGCTTCCGAATAATATAAGAGGTCACCAGAGGTTCTTGGGTCATGTTTTTTCAGAAGAATGGTTTGGAAAATCTTGCACTGACTGGAAGAATCGAGGGGAGGAGTAGGGGTAGGAGGATTCTGTGGATGAGTAGCTTAAAGAGTGGGATTTCTGAAAGTGGAATCGATCTCGGGGAGAATGAATTGCTTCATAAAATATGGGACAGAGAGTTGTGGCATTCCATGGTCGCCAACGTCTCAGGACATGGCACATAAAGAAGAAGAAAAAGAAGAAGATCTGTGCTCAGTTTTGTTTTCCTTTTACTACTTACTTGAGAAACAGTGAATTTCAAGTGAATAACTGTCAAACCTTGAATACAGCTCTACAATCCAAGATGGATAGAATCACGTCGTATTTTCTCATAATCGACACTTGTTATACCCTTGAATGGGCTTAAAAAATAATTATTTAGAAAGAAGAAGAAGAATATAGGCTTACCTATTTGACTAGGATCTCTAAGATCATACACACATAAATCACTGGTCTGCCCCATAGTACGATCTGTGCTTGTGAAGAAGATGTTACTGCTATAGCTGTATCCACATGTCCTAACAGCCGACTTGTATTCAAGCTGTGTCGTACATTTGCCTGTAAGGAGAGAAGAGAGACACGAATGAGCTATGATGATAGGTCCCGCTTAGCAAGTCTATCCATCTAAGTATCTTCTCCAGGTTCGGAGGTTGATTACAACATCTCTCCATCTCTCACTCTTTCTTCTGCCATTCTAGTGCACTCTTGCAGTTTTAGTCCACTCCAGTTCTTGACATTCTCTTCCCAGTTGATTCAGGGTCTCCCTTTCGGTCTAGTTCCTTCCTTTTTATGTTAAATAACTAGAAAATTTACTCCACAAGAAAAAAGGACAAGATAATTTGAGGTACGACTAGAAAGTCATTCAGATTCTTACCAGTTTTGATATCCCACATCCTCATGGTGTTATCTGCACTCCCTGTAATTGCTTTCTGTGATTCCCCTGATGAGTAACATGGTTAAGGTTGTCTAATGGCATGTATACAATCTGTACATGTAGACTACTTGGGCCTGTTTTTCGAAACTGTCATCTTCTTGGACATCCCACTGAAACTATTAATTGAAACGTGTGTTATAAGATGGACACGCGTATCATGTCTTCGAATTTTGACGTATGACGGTTTCAAGAAACTGGCTCCAGGGTGCTTTTACATAAGTACTACCCATCTCCCCACCCCCTCCCCCCAAAAGGAACAGGATTGGTCACCAATCATTTTGCAACTCACTGTGCATATATTGTAGATTGATACTTTGCATTTACAATTATGCTTTCCCCCCCCCCCCCCCCTTTCCCCCATCACAAGAAAAACCAAATGCTTTTCAGCACTGAAGACAATTTCACCCCTACACAAGTGGCTCCCTCTGTCACAGCAGTGACCTGCTGCCCATAGTGTCATTTTTTCTGGTGGTTAATTTTGTCTTATTTTAACAGCAATTTTACTATTATCCTAAAAGCATCGTTTAAGAATGTTAAATCTGAGATGCATGGCCCTACGTGTTATCAGTGTCTGTAATATGGTGTAATATTGAAGCCCTAAAAAAATGCCGTTTCAAAATGATCATGAAGTGCCTTTAAAAAGTAAAAATCTTTGAGTGACCGGTTTTAACATGCTCATTTTCCCCAATAGACTGTAGTGTTATAAAAACCGTTGTTGAAATTTCAATTTTCAATCATAAATAACTTGATAAACAGACAGGCGATCGGCTTGTAAAAGTCATGGGGTTCCTGACAGACCTAAACATTTATAATTATGATTACAGCATGAGCTAAATCAAGGATTTTGTTTCAGAATCTGAGACAAAGATACCCAATCCCTTTAAGAGCTGTGTAGAAAGTCAATAGTGAAAGGATACAGTCAACATCGATGCACCATACAGCTCCACTGTGGCCTTCAAACGTTCCCAACCTCTCTCCATTGACCGAGTACCAGATGTTCGGCGTTGTGTCTTTTGCTGTGGAGAACAGAAGGTCACCTTCACGGTTGTACTTGATCTGAGTGACAGACCTCTCGTGTCCAAAGAGAGCAATAGGTTTCTGAAGGGAAAAAAAGTATGAAGAAGAAGAAGAAAAACATTATTTTTTGTCTTCGCCCTCATCATGCTGCTAAGAAATCACATTGAGTGACTAATTAATTACTTACATGTACATGGATCATGGATGGTTTCATCTGCCAGAAGGATTAATATTCTACTAATCAGGGGTGATAGTGAGCACTAAAAAAAAATAGGTTTTTTATTTTCCCCTCAACCACGCCCCCCTTGAGTAAAAAAAAAAAAAAAAAGAGGATTCGCGGGGAAAAATGGCATTTAACATTCGGGAAAAATTTTAAAAATCGGGAAACCGATTTGAATCGGGTTTTTATCAGGCCTGACTAATTCAGTTAAACCTAACCTGAGGTCAAAGATCATATCTCATAAAAAAAGCCCTCAGGCTAACCCGATATAAAACAAAAGCTTAGGTCAAGCATCAGGACAAAAACAAAAGTATTTGAGTTAATTAATACCCTTCTGGATCTAACCAAAGAGTATGTGTTGAGTGGAACACTCCTACTGCTGGCTGTTTAAATAAGTTGTCCCTAAACTAGATTTCACCATCATGAAATAGTAGAATCAATAGATATTGGTATATTAAATTTTCTGATAAATATAAAACGACTCAACACAACCAATATAGGAATCTCACAAAAGAAGGTATGCCTGTATGATGCTGTCCTTCTTATCGATTTTGCAATGCATACCATGATCATAAACAGGGCAACAGACCAAAAACCACTCCCGGCTGAAAAATCCCAGACTTTGTTAAACTTTATTCACTATAGAGACTTTCAGTAGGGGCGCTGGTCCGAGAATAAGGATCGTCCTCATAAAAGAAGATCATTTCCGTGAACCCAGACAGATGCGTCAGATGCAAAAATAAGGACTGCTGCATTTCGCAGACGTTTCATATCGTTAATGCTGACGATCCTCATTCGCGCTCCCTACTAGGGTGTCTGATCGCGCACCCAATGTTGTGTGCTAAAACCCTTCCCATAGAGATTGTACGCTTCCCTATGTGGTCTACGTGCATTGCGCGACCATCCAAAATTGGTCAATGATTTTATGAAAAAATTTGAAATTCAAACCTTTATAACAAATGATCCTGAAGGTGAAACTCAATAAATGAGGTGTCATATGAAAAAGCAGGTTTTTCTCCATATTCCCCATTGGGGGCCACCCCCAGAATTCTAAAAATATCTTGGTCAAAACAGCGATTGAAATGTTGTTTGCATCCTAGCTCCAAAATTTGCCACTTTCCTGAGCTGCCGCCCCGCTGCTTAAGCAGGGCTAGACGTAAGGATAATATCCAGATGCTTTTTTTTTCGCTAGCCCCAAGGGATCATTTGTTATAACAGTTTGAAAATACCCTTCCCACATTTTTGGAATCAGCTAATTAGGGAGGCGTGAGCTCCGCTCAGTCCAAACCATGGTTACATCGCGTAACATGTGCGCTTATAGTGAATGAAAGTATGGGTGGCCGTTCCCGCCATAGAACCCGGAAGTGAATACACGTTGTAGTCAATGGCAATATCGCGGAGACAACTCTCCGCGATAACGGTAACCCATACTATTACTAGTCAATGGCACATATCGCGGAGACAGCGTGGCTCAAGCTTGCAAGTCGCGCATTGGCTGAGCAACTTGCGTACGATATGCATACGCTTGCATATCGCGCGATACAGCTGTTTGGCTAAATTTAGCAAAACAACATAACTCTGCGTGTACGTCTTTTTCGTCGATTCTGAGCAAAATGCTATGAATATTTCAGTGTTTTGAAGGGGCTGTATCTTTTGATAGAAACATCGGCGAGACTTGAAATTTGAAATGTATTATTCTGATTACATTTTTAATTCAAATATCAAACAAAAATGGTGAAAAACGATCCCAAATTGAAAATTGAAAAATCGTTCAGACACCCTATCCCTACTGATTTTGCCCTTTTTTGCTTTATCTTGATTCTTATTCTGAATCTTATCTGATCACACGGCCCGCCAGTCAACATCAATCTTCCATCATTCAACCATTCCAAGCCATGGCACTAGTAAAGGAGGAGCATATCAATAGAGTCTAGATACATGTATAACAAAAGTTACATGCAGTGCACTACACTACACTACACAGTCTACACACTGCACTGTGCACTGTTCACCGCCGACCCATCATGCCCATATATCCAACTCTGTGTCACGCACTCTCTGTCTCATTTCGACTATTTTACAACTCCTTTTATTCACAAGATTATCAAATACCTCTTTAGAAATTCACGTATACGATCCTATATAAAACAAAATATCATACTTTACCATTTTGAAAAATTATGTCAGCGCTAAATTTGAGAAATATGACCTTTATCCGATAACAGCCGGTAAAATTTCACAACACATGCATCCACACCGCGCGTACTAAACTAGTCTTCGAATATGCGTTTTTAATTAAATAAAATAAAATTGGCACTCAGATTGTGAGCATGCATCAATTTAAAGTTGTTTTGAGTGAAAATGACGTTGACTCGTTGTTATATGATATGATCCCAGATATGATTTAAAGTCCTTCTGGCTCCAAACAGATCCTTTTTCATTATTTAGTTGTGTTTTTACTTATTTCAATATTTGTTTGTCTGTTTAATTGCTTTTTTTCCAAGAGGTGCCACACAATCACTCTTGTTCATTATTATTATAATTCAACACTATGATTATTTTGCACATTGAATTTCTAGGGATTGATATGGAGGGGACACGCAAACCATTGTAACGTACACTACGTAAATGGGATGATCTACTGCACAGTCAGATACAAACATGTACTTACAGGGTCTGTGTTTGTAGACTAAAAGGCATTGCGCCATAGTTGCGTGTATACTATGCATGATTATTGGGTATAAATGATACCATGGAGAGATTATATAGAGCTACATGAGAATACTAGTGGAATGATTCCAACTCCATATGTAGTGATTACTTTGTAAACTACATTCATGATTGTACATGTATTTCTAAAGACAGGTTGTTGTTTCTGTATGTCTTTTATTGGAAATAATCAAAAGTTGTTGATTCAATTTCAATAAATGTTTTTAATTTGTACTCTACTGTCGGGGGGGGGGGGGGGGGAGAGAAATTGGGAGAAGGGGATTAAGAGACGGATTTAAGAAGTAACTTATCCTCTACAATTTAAATTCTAAATCATTTTCCAGATTGCGCACAACAGTTTTTGTTTTGTTTTTTGGTCTGATGTAATTATATTATTCTAGCACCAATCTAGCTAGGGCGGGTTCATGGATCTGTGGTGGGTATAGGCCTATATGAACAAGCGAGATAATAGTCCGCGAAAATCTGACTAATGGGGTTTACGGGCCTATTTTTTCTTTTAAAGCCCCACTGCACTAGTTTGGCAAGGAGGGATTAGACCTCCATCCATGGTCACTCGGACAGGTGGTTATCTCATTAAATTAGCTCTCAATTATCATAAGAAAAGGGGATCATGGGGGGACCAATGGTCGCCCGCGATTTTTGCTTTCATGATATAGGGCGCAAAGCGCAAGTAGCTATAAGTAGTACAGTGGGGCTTTAATCTTCTTACTGGGAGAGTCCGCCTTGCCCCCCTCCCCTTACCCCCGATCTGCTATGAAGGTTGTCGAAAATGTCAGATACGGCACCCCAAAGTGCTCCTCGTTCATAGGAAAAGTGCCCACTTTTAGTTTGACGCGTTTCCCTCCCCATTCTTATAAATAACTGTCCCTTTTCACCTCCGATAAGTGCCCCTTATAATTTGGCACATCTCCTTTATCTTTTCTAATAAATGCCCCCTTTTTCATGTGATAAGATTTTTTTTTTTATAAATAAGAGTCCCTCCCCCTTCTTATAAATGACCCTTTTCACCTCTGATAAATTCTCCTGTTAAACTCTGACAGGTGCCCCTTTTCCTTTGCAATTAGTGTCCTCTTTCCAATTTCACAGGTACCCTTTTCCGTCTTTGGTTAGTGCCCCTGTTCAAATCTGAGAGGTGCCCCTTTTCCTTTGTAATAATTGCCCCCTTCCCCTTCTAATAAGTGCCCTTTTTCTTTCTGATAAGTGCCCAAATTCCTTTCCATTAAAAACCCCTTCCCTTCTCATAACTGCCCCTTTTTCACCAATGATAAAGGCCGATATTAAAAGCTGATATGGGTGCCCCTTTAATTTCGACAAAATACCCCTTTCCAATCTCATTAATGCCTTTTCAAATCTCTGGGGCACTTCTCTCCAGAAACTGTTTCTGGTGAGTGCCCATTTTCATGCAACAGAAAGTAAGAAACTGTTTCTGGTGAGTAACTTTTTTCAGGTGAGAGAAGTGCCCATGCACCCCTAATTTAAAGCGCTTTAGAGCAACTTTTTCTTAACCCCCCCCCCACCCCCTAAGCGCTCATTCGCATTTATAGTTGATTTTCACATATCAAAGGTCTTTTCAGTCTTGCATAATTAGATTGTGCTTAAAACCAATCAGGATTTGTTTGCCCTTTTTAAAAATAAAATGTAATCTTATAGTATGATTGGGTAATTGAATACAAATATTTTGAATGAATGAACTTATAAAGAATTTATAATGAATAAATAACTAGGCCGACATAGATAACATGAATGAATAAATAAAAATTCTAAAATTAATACACAAATTCTATATTCTTGAAAACAATATTGTGCACAGACAGGGATTATTCCCATGGCTGACCTAAAAAGGTGACCTTACCCCCCTCCCCCAACGGAGCCAAATGTCAATTTTTCAAATTTCGAGACCAAAAAAAAAAAAAATGTCCTCTTACCCCCCCCCCCCCCTCTCCCCCCCCCCCCCCCCCCCCCCCCCCCCCCCCCCCCCCCCCCCCCCGCTTATTCAGCGGTCGGCTGAGTCGTTGCGATTTTTTGGGGACCAAAAAAAAAAAAAGTTTCCTCTTACCCCCCTTCCCCCCCCCCCCCCCGCTTATTCAGCGGTCGGCTGAGTCGTTGCGATTTGTTTGGGACCAAAAAAAAAAGGGTCCTCTTAACCCCTCCCCCCGCGCTTATTCAGCGGCTGACTGAGTCGTTGCGAAATTTTCGGCCCGATTTATAAATGTCCCCCTTGAAAAAAATCCTGCGTACGCGCCTGTGCACAGATGTCATTTTTAGAAACTGCGGCTGCTTTTTTTTCTGTTTTTTTTTTTTTTTCTGTTTTTTTTTTTTTTTTTTTTGGGGGGGGGGGGGGGTCGGTTTACCGCGCCGTATATGAATGGATCTTTAGGCACCACTGAAATTCCCCATATGTTGTTTATTACATTTAAAGTTGTTCTCTTTCCCTAATTTGCATACTGACTATGTGATAAATAATTTTATTAGCACTGTAAGTTCATGAAATTACGCAAAAAATAACATTCCATAACTTTTTTATGTTTCATCCGATTTTTATGAAATTCTAACTGTGGTGTTTGTTAAATTTTGCTGCCTGTACTCATCAATTCAACTTGCGAATGGGACGGACTTGCCTAATTCAGGATTTAGGAAAAAAAATTTTGTCGTCATTCCAAAGTTCGGTAATCCGAAGGTTTGTAATTCCGATAGTGATATGGTTCCCAAGTTTTTCAAAGATTTGTTGTATTAAAAAATTACATTCTTTAGCAAAACTACACTGTAAAAAAAAGTTGGGGAGATGTTTCTGGGCAAATCAAAGTTGTGCAAATTTTGTCCAATAATTGGGTTATTTTTTCCCCAACCATTTACTATATGAAGTTACCTCATGAAATGTAAATCATAGGTTGGGTAGGTATTGGCAAATCGATGCCTTTTTGGGCAAATATCGTCCAACAATTGGTTTATTTCCTACCAGCCATGTATAATAACCGATGAAATAATTGGTCAATGTTATTGGGCAAATTAAAGTTGGGCCATTTTTGTTCAACGTTTGGGTTATTTTCTCCCAACTATTTATTATATACCCAATTAAATGTTCAAAATAAGTTGGGCAGATGTAACTGGGCAAACGTAAGTCGGGCAACATTATTATTCAACGATATAGTTATATTCTTGTACAAGAGGTGTCGTGGTCGAGTGGATAATTTTCACAGGACTTTGGATAGCAAGGCCGCGGTTCGAGTCCCGCCGCGGCAATATACAATATACAATATAATATTTTATCCAACTTATTCGCCCAACTAGTGTCTAATATGTTACACATTATGGTGAGAATTGGGTGAATTTCTGATTGGGTAAATTTTTGTTGGTTAAAAGTTGGTTAATAGGTTCTGTATTCCGAGTGATATAGGGTTACATAATCTTCACTGGTGCACCCGCAAGCCTATATCTACATCACCATGCAAGCCGACACTTACAAGCAGCATCTGATCCTTATCATTTTGAGAATTATGATATTTTGGGGAATTACATTACTACCTATATCATTTTCGGAATTATAAACCTTCTTTCATTTTGGAAAACAACCTTTAGAAACTGCATGTACCCAATAACATTCATAAATCCGTTCTTTTGTGCAGACTGATGAGCTTATGATTATGACCGGGGATTCAGTGATGCCATACTTCAAAGTCCAAGAGAGCAAAGCTGCCACGACATGCCCTTCGATATAACACTGTGAATGCCTGCATGAATGAATGATCCTCTTTTATAGTAGCACCCCTCATCCGATCCCTGGTCTCAGTTCTTCGACTCCACTTTAATTTCTTTTCTTTTTTGTTTATACATAACGTCTAAGCCTCCTGTCTTTTATTTACTCTGCGGCCTCCTCATCAATTCGCTCTTGCACATTGGGAATCTGAAGAAATATTTATAAAAATAATAATGATACAAGACGATTTGTAATTAAGTGAATGTAAGCTGGTATTCTTCTTTTTCTGCCACTGAATTTTCTTCTTATCTAGCTTCTACCCTCCTCCTCGGTCTCTTACTCTCCTCGTCCATATTTCTCCTTCTCCTTCAATGTATAGACCACAGTATGTAAACTGTAGGCCTACCTAATCGACTGGTTCATAAATTTACCGTCATGCAGGGACGACCGCGTACTATCTTCCCGACTATATCTTTCATCTTTTTTTATTTGTGTATAATTATTTATTAGCCTTTTCTCTTTGTTTTTTTAACTGTGCAATTAAGCTTAGCGTTCAACTTGATATTCAAATGAAAGGGAAACATATTTGGATGAATCTAGCAAACAGTCAGGACCAGGGTGTCGATTTGTATCCGTGCCAGGGGGGGGGGGGATGATAGATGCCAAAATATTTTTGGCAATGGATCAAAGCAACCAAGAGGTAGACGCGTGTGGCAGGTTGCACCCCCTCCCTTCCAAGCTATTAACTTTTTCAAGTCACCCTCAATAAAGATAACATTTCAGAGAATATAAGAGTGGTAATAAAATTAATAACATGCTAAATATTAGTCCTGACTCAGGACTGTC